TTCCAGACATAGAGTCAGTAGACCTTCTCCTCTGCTTGGCTGTGAGGGCAGGGAGGGCTGAGGATGGGGGACAGTGCCGCTCAGGGCTTAGGCCTGGTGAGGGAAGACCGCAACGCCACTAGCTGAGAGGATGCAGGGAGGGTTTTACGGTGGCCTAGCTTCTGCTGCCTCCTGAAGTTTCCGAGGCTGGAAGAGGGTGAGGACAAGTGCAGGACTGGCTTGGGCAGAGGGATGGAGAGAGATGGGAGAGGACGAGTGTGACTAAAGTTGCAGGCGGGCCCCCAGGACTAGGCCATGACAGTCTATGCTGCCCACCGGAGCTGGCCCATGTGGGGTTGAAACATGTTTCATCAGGTACCACTGCTCAAATATCAGGAGATTTTACATCAAAATCAGCAGCTCCAGCTTCTCTCAGAAGTCCAGAAACGTTGGCATCCTGGTCTCAAGTTCCTGCGTGGCCACACTCAGCTGGGGAGGTGGGGGGCGCTGCCCCAGCAATGTACCCCTTTGTCCCTTGGGGTCGCCAGCCAGAAGATGGCAGTACGGTTTAGCACTGAGCTTGCTCTGCTGATTATTTTTGTTTGTTTTTCCCTTTTTTTTATGGTAAAGAGTAAAGTGAAGCACCTCTCCTACCCGTATCTTTATAAAAAATGGGAAGCAGAAGTTTGAATGAGGGCCCTGCATTCTCCTGCTACCTTCATTTTACACATCTGCCAGCCCCAAGATGACAGTGTTTATGGCCCTGGCCTGGGATGGAGGGACCTTGGCCTGGCCATAGGGGAGGGGTGCTCTGGGGAAAGTGAGCTGAGGAAGAGTGACCTGAGAGAGTGATTGGGTGGGTGAGGGCCTGGAGGCTTGGAAGAAGGAGGGAGGTGGGGAGGGAGGAAAGGAGTGAGGAAGGACAGAGGACGAGAAGGAAGGAGAAAAGGAAGGGAGGAAGGAGGGAGGGTGGAAGGAAGGAAAGATGGGTAGAAGGAGAGAAAGAAGGAAGGGAAGAGTGATGCTGGAGGCACAGTGTGGTAGTAGGATGAGGGAAGGAAGGAATCCAAGGTGATGCCAGTGACGCCATTGGTGGAGGGGAGAGGTCTGATTTGGGGACAGAGGGGCAAAGGGGAGGGGTCTGATTTGGGGCAGAGGGAAGAAGGGGGTGGTCTGATTTGGGGACAGAGCAAGGGTGAGTGAGTTGGGCTTTGGCCCACATGTGTTTGTTATTCTAGCAGGGTGTTGAGTCAGGAATAGGTCCTTTGGGGGAAAGGTTTGTGCCTGGAAAGAGAGAGCTGAGGCCATGTGCTCAGGTGGCTGGTTGGCCTGGGGAGTCAGGACAGTCCTCAGTGTAGGCCCGAAGTGCGAAGGGAAGTGTGACCAGGACAGTGGGGGACAGAAGGCCTGTGACCAGGGGACCCTCAAGGAGGAGAGCATGCCGTCTGGGGTTCCTGGTGTTTTCTCCCTGGGGAAAGTACCAAGTGCCCAGGGTCCCAGGGGCAGCAGGGTGTCAAAGGTTCAGGGTCCCTGGGGTGGGCAACCAGCTACTCACTTTAATCCCTTCTCCCCCCCCTCACCCCCAGCAGTGTCCGGGTGGCTCCAGGCTCTGTCCCGGGCCCGAGGTGCTGCCCTTGGCTTCTATCTCAGTCTGCCTCCTGATTGTCATCCTCTCAGCCCACTGGGTGTAGCACTTCCTCTTGGCTCTGTACCCTCTCTCTGCTTCTACCTAGCCTTGCAGTGAGTGTCACTGAGGGTCAGCCTGGCAGAATAGCCCGGCTTTACAGACTGGCAAAGCGAGGCTCACAGAGGCAGATCAGGGTATTCCACAGTCAGGCTCCAGTGCTCCTGAGGAGGGCTGGGCTGATGTTTCCTGACTTCTCTGGGATCTGGGGCTCTGCCAGAGTTCAGCAGGGCATCTGGCTCCTCACCCTACCATAGCCTCGCCACAGTCTGGACCTGTGGCCTATGCAGGAAAGCATCCCCTGCAGAGGAGCTGGCCACCTGCCCTCTGGCGGGGAACTCCTGCCCAGCCAAGCTCAGGAAAAACCCTTCTTCGCTCAATTGAAATCCAGCGAGTTAAGAAACAAAAAGGAAAAAAGTCCATACGATAGTTTTGCTGTTTGCATTGACTCCTTCTTACCTCAAACTTTTAGAAACAATCGTGTAAGCTCAATTTTTTGAAACTCGAAAATATTTTTAAATTGATGTTTGAGAAACCAAGTGAAGGTGGTCCCTGTGCTGGTCGCTGTGGCCCTTGACCCATCCCTCACTGGCCATTCCTGTGTCACCATCACCCTGCTGCCCCTGAGCTACCCACGGAGCCCTTGGGGTCCTGCCTGATGGAGGCATGGTGGCCTGAATGGGCTGCAGCCCATGTCGCCGCATCTCACACGGGTGTAGGCGTGCCTTTTGGGGATGGGTGGCAGGTGCAGACATGGCCTGCATTGAGGATGTGTGTGCTCATAGGCCCTAGAAATGGCATTTTTCTTGGAACTTCCAACCTACTTGCAGTAGATGGGCTACATACTTACAAAAGAGGGGAAATGCTAGTGATTAATATTTATGAAGTATCTACTACTGCCACCAAGCTCATTATCTGCATTGTTGTTGACAGTTGGTTCTGACTCATGGCCACTGATGCGATGCAACTGATTACTTTTGTGTGTGGCCTTTTTAGCCATGGGCTTGTAACTCCCATCCAGGTGATTGTGTGATAGAGTATTTGTGGCCTACCAAGGGGATTGGTCAGTTTTGCCTTAAAAGAGAGCCAATTCCAGAGCAGAGAGGAGCCCACCACCACCAAGGAAAGAGAGACCAGCAGCAGAGACCAGGGAGCAGGAGACTGCGTGGTGGGCCTCCCGGCCCACAGAGAGAGAAAGCTCAGTGCCTTTGGGCAGAGACTGAGGGCCAAGGAAAGGCAAGCTTGCGAGCATGGCTGGGAAGAGGCTTTCCTGGTGGAAGAACTGTATCTCGAATGTTCTTGAGTCTGAATTGTAACTGTTAGTTCCCTAATAAACACCATAATTGTGAGTATAGTCTTTGAGTTCTTTGTGGCCATTGCAGTGAATTATTGACCCAGCAGAGAAGTAGAGAATGCCATGGGAGGGACAGTTGGTGTCAGAACTGGTAAAGATGGTGAAGAGAGGAGGCGCGTTTGACCACCTCATAAGAATCAGCCTTGGACTGTTGATCTTGGTTCTCCCTCCCCCTTGTGGGGTTGGAGGAGGTCAGATGCCTCCCGGAAGCTGTTTTTACTCCTGAATACATTAATCTGTCCGAAGTAAGCAAGGCAGTCTTGCCATCCTCACTTCTAAGGGACATTCCATTCTGGTTGTATTTCTTCTAAGATAGATTTGTTCATTCTTCTGGCAGTCCACGGAATGTTCAATATTCATCGCCAATACTACAGTTCAAATGCATCCATTCTTCTTCAGTCTTCCTTATTCATTTCCAGTTTTCACCTGCATATGAGACGATTGAAAAGGCCATGGCTTGAGTCAGGTGCACCTTAGTCATCAAAGTGACATGTTTGCTTTTTAACACTTTAAAGAAGTCTTTGACAGCAGATTTGCCTAATGCAATACGTTGTTTGATTTCTTGACTGCTGCTTCCATGGACGTTGATAGTTAATCTAAGTAGAATGAAATTGTGGACAACTTCAGTTTTTTCTCATTATCTGTTATTCAGACTTTCCCACAGTCCAATGGGGTGGTACCATTAGTGCACCCATTTTACGGATGGGGAAATGGAGAGTCCAGAGTTTTGGCAGCTTGCCCATGTCACCCAGTTAGTAAGAGCTGGAGCCAGAATTTGATCTGCGTCTGACTTGCTTAACCTCCAAGTTGTTAAAAGGAGAGGTTACGAGGTGCCAGACCTAGAGGGCTGTGGGGTTCAGGGCCCAGAGGGGGTGGGTGCCAGACCTGGTGTCCCACACTGGCCAGCGGGTGCCAAGGTAGGCTGGGCGATGCTACAGGTGGGTGCCAGGCAGGTTGGAACCCCAGGGATGCTCACAGCGTTAGTCACCTGCCCCTGGACCTGCAGCTGGCAAAGGTGGATTTAATTAGCGAGACGGTGGTCTGGCAGAGCACCAGGCCCTTCAGGGCTGCCCGTGTATGCATGCCACACTGGCTGGTTGGGATTCCAAAATTCTCATTTAGCCTCCTGTTGCTGACTGCTCATGGCAAGGGCATGCTTCCTCTGTTCTCCCTGACCTCTCCGGAAGGCTCCCAGCTCAAGTCCCAGGGGACTGGCACTACCTCAGGGTCCCCGGGGGAACTGGGACCAGAGAGCAGGAGACTGCATGGTGGGCTTCCCGGCCCACAGAGAGAGAAAGCTGAGTGCCTTTGGGTAGAGACTGAGGGCCAGGGAGAGGCATGCTCCTGAGAGGTGAGGGGGGAGCTGGTGATGAGAGAGCTGTCACCTGCTGGCCAAGGGGTCCCAGAGGTCCTGAAGTTGTCACTGTTCTCAGAACAGCTGTGGCCGCAGGGACTCCTAATGAGACAAGTTTCCAGGAATTTACTCGTTCACACCCCAAGGGGTTACAGACTGTGTCCTTGTGCCTGTCAGCTCAGCTGGTATTGGTGAGCCTGGCTAGTTCCAGCCTGGGGACAGGAGGTAGACAGTGCTATGGGAACCCTGGCATTTAGACCACTGCCTCACTGCCTAGTGGCTTTACTGGAGGCCTCAGCTGTCAAGTTTCCCCAGCAAGGACAGGATCCACTCCAGGGGCCAGGCTGGGCCTGTGGCTGGGAGGGGGAGTTGCCCCCTCTACCACCTTCTCCATCCCATGGAAACAGGGAGGGCCCATGGAACTCTTTCCCTGGCCTGCCATGTTCCACCCTTCCCTAGTGAACATACCATCTAGGAAGAGCCCAAACGTGCAGAAAGTTTTTCCGTCCTCTGGGGGTCATCAAGCCCTTTGGGGGACCATCTGCCTTTCCCCGGGGCTGTCATTAATACATGAGTGACACCTTCCTCACAGAGGCTTCACCCTGTGCCCTCTCCTCTGCCCTAGGATCATGAGGCCAGATGATGCCAACATTGCTGGCAATGTCCACGGAGGGACCATCCTGAAGATGATCGAGGAGGCAGGAGCTATCATCAGCACCCGCCACTGTAACAGCCAGAATGGGGTAAGTGTCTGGGCGTCCCCTCTTTCTCAGCCTGGGCTAGGCTCACGTGGAAGATTCTGGACCCCAGGACACCTGGAGTTCCCTGTGTGCACAGTGCCCACACCAGTGTTGGGTCAGGAAGGGAGTCTGATAGGGCCTTGGCCTGGAGCCATGGAGGCTTACGAAGTTCTGGCCCAGTTAGACCCTGGACCCATCCTCTTGGACGACATTGGGTTGGCCTCAGCGAGGAGGGTTGGGAGACCACTGGAAGACTAAGCTGAGAGCCAGCCTACAACTGCCTTTTCAGCGCCTCTTCCCTTCATTCCAGAGGAATTTTAGTTTCTTGAATCCCATATCTTGAGGACCTGCTGGCTCTCGACTCTGATCAGAAGCTCTCCATGCTTGTGGGCAGCAGTTTATCCTGACGCTCAAGGGCAGAGATGTGGGCAATCCCGCCTCTGCCCCAGCTGTGTGCCTTGAACAAGTGCCTCCAGCTCTCAGCATCCTCGGCCTTACAGCCCAGCAGGCCCTGGCACCGCAGTGCGCGTGAGCGCACCCACGACAGTGCCCATTCTCCACCTGGAGCTGTGGCTGGCATGAGCTGGAGGTATTGGCTTTCTGTTTTTAGAACTTCAGGACTGCTGCACAGCTGTCACCCTGTCACCTCCTACCATTTCCCCAGCCCCGCGGGACCTGACGTGTCCTCTGAAGGATGCAGGGAGAGAGGGGCCAACCCTTGGATGCTGGGGAACGGGTGGTCTATCTGTCTTGCTGCTGCCTGTGGCCTCTGTACCTGTGGGCCTCAGTTAACCCACCTCCGGGGATCTCTCTCCTCTGGGTTGAGAGAAGGAAGATCTGACCTCAGCTTAGACTGTGTGTGCATGTGCATGCGTGCATGTGTGCGTGCGTGCATGCGTGTGTGTGTGTATGTGTGTGTGTGTGTTGTGTGCATGCGTTGAATGAACCAAGCCCAGGTTAGTGTGTATGGGTGGGAGTGGGTGTGGGGCCTTGAATGGCGGAGGAGTGGACGTGGGTTAGGTTGGGACCAGCTTGTGAAGGAGGGACTTGCCTGCCACCACGCCAGGAGTGTGGATTTTATTCTGTGGAAAGGTGGTGCCCTTGAAGTTCTCCTACGAACCTAGCCACATTCAGAAAGTGCCCTCTAGTGGCTGTGGGGAGGATGGGCCAGAGCCCAATAGGCTGAGTAGGTGGGATGGGCAAGCAGGCCCCCTGGTGGCCCTCCAGGAGAGGAACAGCCAGGGTCCAAGGCAGGCCTGGCAAAGGATGATGGGCATTGGAGTCAGTGGGAAGGACAAGCCCCAGGACTGGGTAGTGAGGGAGGAGGGAGGGGTGTGTGGGTGGGTGAAGAGACCCTTAACAATTAGACACAAGTGCTATGTTTACTAAGCACTTAATGTTTTGCAAAGCTCTGAAGTGCTTCAGCTCAAGTAACTCTCATATCGCCCTTAAGAGGTGGATGTGGTTATTTATTTATTTATTTTTTATTGTAGTAAATATATATACAGGTAGTCCCCAACTCACGATGGTGTTCCGTTCTAATGACTCTGTCGTAAGTCAAATATCTAGATTTTTTATTTTTTTAGTTTTCATTGTTGTTGTTGTTAGGTGCCACTGGAGTCAATTCCCACTCATAGTGACCCTATGCACCACAGAACGGAACACTGCCCAGTCCTGCGCCATGCTGGCAATCGTTGTGATGCTTGAGCCCATTGTTGCAGCCACTGTGTCAGTCCATCTTGTTGAGGGTCTTCCTCTTTTTCGCTGACCCTCTACTTTACCAAGCATGATGTCCTTCTCCAGGGACTGATCCCTCCTGACAACATGTCCAAAGTATGTGAGACCTAGTCTCGCCATCCTTGCTTCTAAGGAGCATTCTGGTCGTACTTCTTCCAAGACTGATTTGTTGGTTTTTTTGTCAGTCCATGGTATATTCACTATTCTTCACCAACACTACAATTCAAAGGCGTCAATTCTTTTCATTATTACTGCCTTTTTATTATCAGTATCTATAAATCTGGCAGTGTTTGGAACTGTAAATCATAAAAATGAACATCTGTGAGTGAACATCTGACAATGATAATATGAACAAATTTCAAGATGCAACATATAACTAACGATAAGATGTACGAAGAAAAAAAAAGGACGATCGTAAATGTGGTTTGTTGTAACCTGCATATGTCATAAGTTGGGGGCTACCTGTATAACAAAACATTTGCCGTTTCAGCATTTTTCACATGTACAAATCAGTAATAATTGCATTCATCAATGTCGTGCGCCACCATCTGTTTCCAAATGTTTCATCACCCTTACCAGAAGCTCAATGGACAAACACTTTAAAGGACTGGCACAGTACATGGTACATGCCCCCAGCTGGATGGGGTGCGGTTGTTTTTATCATCCCATTGCACAGATAAGGAAGCTGGGGCAGAGAGGTGAATTCTTATCTGGGTCCCACTGGAGGCAGGCAGAAAGTCTGAGCCATGAATTCAGAACCTGGCTCCTAGCCACTGCTCTGCACTTGCCCTTGAGCCTGGGGGTGCAAGAGGGACCATTCTGACATTTTGGCTGGGAGATGCTCCAGGGCTGCTGGTCCCCAGGAGGGAACTCTTGAAGGCCCAGGCTCAGGAGGGGGCTGATGCTGGCCTCTGAGGGGCTTTGCTGGGGTCCAGGGCAGAGGGCACCCCCTATCCAAACTCACTCCAGATTGTGTCTTTTAAAACCAAGATGGGAACCCCAGGTCTGTCTCCAGCTAGGACTCCTGGCCGAACTCCACCTGTAGTCCTAATCGGCCTCACAACCTTGGTGTATCCAAAAGCAAGCTCCCAGACTCCCAAAGTTTCCCTGTCCTCTGTAAATGCCCTTTCTGTCCTCCAGCTACTCTGGCTCAAAACCTGGAGCTGCCAGTGACCCCTCTCCTTTTTTCACACCTACAGACACCGGCAGCAAATCCTGTTGACTTTGCCTCCTAGATATCTCCAGATCTGACCCCTGCCCCCTCCTCTACATCCTCTATCCCAGCCGAATTACATCTCACCTGGATGGCGGCAGCAGCCTCTAACAGGGTCCCTGCTTGCCCACCTCGGCCTGATCTCCAAGCAGCCAGAGGGACCTCGTACATGTGAAGTTGGTCATGTTACTCTGCTGCACCAGTGGCTCTTTTCTCAGTAGCAGCCAGAATCTGCACAGGTCCCTGTCCCTACCTCTCCTCACCCCTGGCCCTCGGACCTCATCTCCTATGTCTTTCCTCTCAGTTACTCCCTCCACCCACACTGGCTGCTTGCTGCTCTTTGAACTTGCCAGGCCTATTCCTGCCTCAGGGCCTTTGCACTAGCTGTTCCCTCTGCCTAGGGGCTCTTCTCCCAGATGTCCACATGGCTCACCCTCACTTCCTTGAAGGCTCTGATGACCCAGCTCCCCTGACTGCTCTCAGCTTCTCTTTATGTATTTTCTTTTCATCTTTTTCATTGTTGTTGATTTTGTATTTGCTGAGTCTTTATGTTTTTCTTGTTTTTTATTTTGATGTGTTCTTGACTTCTCTTCTCCATGGCATGCATACCTGCACGCACCGCCACCTCGCTTTCTATATGTTTAATTGATTTATCCTATGGCCTGCTTCCCCCACAAGAGTGCCAGCATCTCAAGGCCAGGGACTTTGTCTATTTTATCCCTGCTGGATGCCCAGCCTCTGACACAGGGGGTCCCTCAGTGAATATTTGCTAAGTGCCTGCAGCCTTGTCTGGACTGGTGATCCTGCCTTGCACATCCTTTTATCGAGCGCTAAGGATGTGCCAGCAACAGCGCAGAGTGCTTGGCCTTCCTCACCTCCTTTCATCTTTCCACCAATACTCTGTTCTTAACCCCATTTTACAGATGAGGAAGTTGAGAGCTAGAAAAGTTATGTGGCTTCCTAAGGTAACACAGAGCTGCCATCAGCAGCAGCAGGGGGCGGTGGGGTGGGCACAGGCACAAGTGTGGCTCAAACATGATGGGCCTAACTGCCCACTCTTCCTGGGCCCTTCCTGGGCGCCAGCCACCATTTTATGGACTTCACATTTGCCCACTTGTCCGTGAGTGGGACGCCTGCCCCCCCCCGGAGCACTTCTCCCCGGGAGCGCTTTGCATGCACTCCCTGCCCCCCACCACACACCCCAGCCCCCACCCTGAATCACCACAGCACCCACGGGGACCATTTATCATCTCCGTTTTATGGACAAGGAGCTGCAACACAGAGAAGTTAGGTCGCTGCCCAAGGTCACAGAGCTGGGATTTGAACCCAGGGCCCAGAGCTGTTCTTTCAGGCTCTACTTCTGAAGCTGCCATCCGCGTAGTTTCCCACTGTGTCACAGACCGCCTGGCTGAGAAGAGGGGTCTTAGGGCAGATGCTAATCAGAACGCTCATGGCTGCTTCCCAGGGTTGAGGGCACTCTGACCCTTCGAGTCCCCAGGGCAGGGATTAGAGGGTCTCATCTGAGGCCAGAATGAGTTGAGGGTTCCCACAGCTCAGAGATCCTCATAGTGAATACAAATAAAGGTCATCCCCAACTTAGAATGTTCGCAAGTCATTTCTGACTAAGTCGAATACCTCTTTTTTTGAAGTTTTCATTATTACTGCCTTTTATTATCAATATCTTTATCAATCTGATCTTTATTTGTCTTTGGGGGTTGGAAACATTACATATAACCTTAGCAGGTGTATTTTAATACATACATAAAAAATACACAAATCATAAAAATTTACTTCAATAGTGAAGGAGAACTGGACAGCATTGGCATTATGTCACTTGCAGTAATAACTCCAGTTGTGGAAGATGCTGGATCATCTGGATCATCCCTGGGTATGAGGGTGGCATTTCTAGTCAGAAAATTAGTGAGAGTTGTCTGTATGGCCCTTTTCTTTTTTTTCTTTGTATATTTTGTGGTAACATTTTCCCAGATCTGCCAATTGACTTTAGCAAGGCGATCTGCATTTGAGTCCATGTTTTCAAGCAACTGAAGCCCCT